ACCTGCTTTGGGCCTTCCAAACTACCAGTTACCTTTCAATCTGTTTGTCTCAGAAAAGTCTGGACATGCTTCCGGAGTCCTAACCCAAAAACATGGCTCAAGACAGCGACCTTTTGGCTATTTTTCCTGCATGCTCGACCCCGTTGCTAGGGGTGGTCCCTCATGCCTCAGAGCGGTGTTTGCTGCCGGTGTCCTCTTGGACAAGACTAATGATTTTGTTCTTGGTCACCACCTCACGGTGTTGGCCCCTCATGACATTACTGCAATCCTGCAACAAGTTCAACCTAAGCACCTTTCTTCTCAACGTTACCTTCGTCTACAAACATCCTTACTGTTACCTGACAATGTGAAACTTCAGCGATGTCTCTCCCTGAACCCGGCCACTCTTCTGCCACTTCCCAAGGGGGGAATTGTGCATTACTGGTATAGCCTGGACATCAACCCAGAGGTTCGAGCAGATTTGCAGCTGCCTGCACTTGCACCCCCCACATGATGAACAATCAGAGGCCCTACTTCACTGCACCTTATGGTTTAAAGACAGACCAGGCCCTGATATGAACTATGAGGAAGAATTATTCCAGCTCAAGGAAATTCAAATTACCCTGACTGACTTGTTATGGGACCCCACAGGTACCATGCTCATCTTAGTCCATCTTCCAGAGAACATGACACATCTCTACCATCATTGGGAAACAGCTATCCCACACATATCTCTCACCAGATCCCCTGACACCTCATGGAAAGACCTAGGCCCGATGGCCAAGACCTGGAGTCAAATGAACCAAGAACAACTGACTTCTATGGGGGCCAGCAAAAAGACTATTAACTACTGTACAGCAGGGTACCCTAGGTACCACACAGACGTCTGTGAGGACCCGCTCATCATAGACTGTGACCCTGATATTTCCCCACTTAGCTGATCAGGCCGCTAAGGAAGCAGCACGACAAGGATGGGAAGTGGACAGAAGAGTGGCCACAGACGCAGTGCCCATCTACACCATGCAGACACCATAGGCGTGCGCAGCCTATTGCATTAGGGTGTGCACCCTAAAGCACAAGCCGCATATATATATATGTATGTATGTATGTATATATATATATACACACATACACACACTGCTGTGTGTGCTGTGCTGTGTGTGCTGTGTGAGGGTGCTGTTAGTGTGATGTGTGTGTGACGATGCTGGTAGTGTGCTATGTTGGTGAGGGTGTTTGTGTGTGCGTGCTTGTGAGGATGCTGTTAATGTACTGTGTGTGAGGGTGCTGTTTGTGTGTGTGTGTGCGCTTGTGAGGGTGCTGTTAATGTACTGTGTGTGAGGGTGCTGTTTGTGTGTGAGGGTACTGGTAGTGTGCTATGTGTGTGTTTGTTAGGGTTGTGTTTGTGAGGGTGCTGTTTGTGTGCTGTGTGTGAGGGTGCTGTATGTGTGTGTGGGTGCTGTATGTGTGTTGGTGCTGTATGTGTGTGGGTGCTGTGTATGTCTGTGGGTGCTGTGTCTGTGGGTGCTGTGTATGTCTCTGGGTGCTGTGTGTGGGTGCTGTGTGTGGGTGCTGTATGTGTGTGGGTGTTGTGTATGTCTGTGGGTGCTGAATGTGTGTGGGTGCTGAATGTGTGTGGGTGCTGTATGTCTGTGGGTGCTGTGTGTGGGTGCTGTGTATGTCTGTGGGTGCTGAATGTGTGTGGGTGCTGTATGTGTGTGGGTGCTGTGGCGTCTGTGGGTGCTGTGTATGTCTGTGGGTGCTGTATGTGTGTGGGTGCTGTGCGGGTGCTGTATGTCCGTGGGTGCTGTGTATGTCTGTGGGTGCTGTATGTGTGCTGTATGTCTGTGGGTGCTGTATGTCTGTGGGTGCTGTATGTGTGCTGTATGTCTGTGTGTGCTGTATGTCTGTGGGTGCTGTGTATGTCTGTGGGTGCTGTATGTGTGCTGTATGTCTGTGGGTGCTGTATGTGTGCTGTATGTCTGTGAGTGCTGTGTATGTCTGTGAGTGCGGTGTATGTCTGTGGGTGCTGTGTATGTCTGTGGGTGCTGTATGTCCAGGGTGCTAAAAGGTCTGTGGGGGTGTTGTATTTCTGGGTGGGTGCTGTGTATGTCTGTGGGTGCTGAAATGTGTGTGGGGTGCTGTAGCGTCTGTGGGTGCTGTGGCGTGTGGGTGCTGTATGTCTGTGGGTGCTGTGTATGTCTGTGGGTGCTGAATGTGTGTGTGCTGTGTGTGTGCTGTGTATGTGTGTGCTGTATGTGTGCGGGGTGTTGTATGTCTGTGGATTGCTATTGTGCGCAGGGGTAAATTTGCTATCCCTCCCTTCTTACCTTATAGGAAGGGGATCCTTGTTTGATGCTGGGATTGTGGTCCAGTGGAGTAGTGAACCTAGCCCCTGTGGGGCTAGAGTTCACTCTCGCGAGATTTGAGCGTTGCCGGCAACGCTCATATCTCGCGAGAGGAACCTGGCGGAGCTGCCGGCAATAGCTCCGCCGGGTCCTCTCCTGCCTCCCTCCCTGCATGTGGGTCAGTGGGGAGGGAGGCTGAGCGATCTCCCCTGCCGGTCTCAATGAACATAGGCATGCCGCGGGGATTAGGGCCCAGGCACACCCTGCACACCCCTTGCGCACGCCTATGCCTAGTGGTGCCTCTAAAGCGTTAACCTCATTATGCTTTATTTTATGTCATAAATCATGATATTAATATCATTACAATCAGTTATACACTACTAGTGTTTATTTATATATTATTAGCATGTATTACATATTCAGTAACACTTTACAATTATGGAAAGGAGATATTGAAAAGTAAAGAAGGAACTGCTCGAACAAGCTTACAATCTAAAAGCATTTGAGATTGGTGGCTATACATATTGCTAGGTGTCATGCCCAAGGACACTTACTGGTAAGGTGGTCAGACCAATTTGAACCTGGGTTTTCCTGTACAAAACTATCTATCATTGGGAAATGCAGATTTACTAGTTACTGGAAGATCCACTGTGATCTGTTACTATTGGATACATAACTATCTACATCCCAGGTGCATACACATTAGACTTTTTTTAAGATATATGGAGTAATTTATCACTGGGTGAAACCCAGCTATGTGGCATTGGGTCATACATGGTTCTCTGGCTCTCTGTTCTGTACATAGTCATAGTTGACTACTAGATACACGGCTATATGATGCATGGTTTGTATAGTCAATATGAATGAGTCAATTTTGGTACATGTTTCCATTACCTGAGTCTCCATGTTGTCTTTTTTTTTCTTAGGGGGAAAGAATAAACAAGACGATTCCAGCTCTGCCTGTCTCCCCACCGACCTCTCATGCATGCAATAAAAGTCTTCCTCCATAAAATCCAATTCTAAATCTCTTGTGGAGAGTCATTAGAGATATCTAGAACTATTTATTACTGTAGAAAATACAGACATTTCTCTGGAACTATAACAAAAGTCTCTTCCATTGCCAGATACATCTTTGCCATTATCTAAAACATCGCCTGGGGTCCTGGTACCCAAACATGACTAAATATTTTAACTTGAAAACCAACATAAGGGTAGTTATACTCACAGTTTGCTTGTGAAATACAAGGGCCACCTGTTCAATCATTAGATTTGTATGAATATATTTATAAATAAGGTTGAAGTGTTATGGTGTCTTTTATTGTAGACTGTGTTAATTATTGAATGATACAGTTGTACTGGTCCAGATTTTGTGTTAATTTATACTTGGCAACCTTCCAGACCTGAAGCAGTCCTAAGTCGTCCTGAAACTAGCATCTTCCAGTAATATCTAATCATCACAAAAGTATAAGGCAGTTCATTTTCTGGGAATTAATTTTGCCAGAGCATTATTACCATATACATTCCTTTTGATAAAAATAAGTGAGAGATATTTTACATTTTTATGAATTCATCTGTACAAGTAATTATCAATTTTATTTCTTTTAAAACAGAAAATGACATCCCAGATAGTAATTCTATATAATTATGAAATAAATGTTATATTTTTTAAAAAAATTAGCACACAATAAGCACTAAACTAAGTGAACTATACTGTATATATTTTATATTTTTTACATTATTTAGAAATTACCAACATATGCCAACATGCAACGCAATGAGGTTATATTTTAACCCAACATTCCTCCGTCTTTTCTCATTCAAGAGATGTCATTGAGGGTTCTAAACTCATATTACTGAAGTTACATTCTTGCAACCAGGAGGGTAGGATGTTCTGTGCAAATTTTAGGGCTTCTTTGTAGGTCACAAGAGCAGCCTGCAATTAATACCAACGTTTGTATAAGCATCTATAAGCATATATCATTGTTCAGAGGCACAAATTAAATTAGAATAAACAAAACAACAGAAAGTCAGCACTAATTAACAAACAATATGTGAATGGGCAGCAACCGAAATGAAGGAAACCCTTCAAATCCTTCAACAAATAGAGAAAAGCAATACAAAAAGATGGAGTTGAGCTGCGCCAGACGATAGAATAAAATAAAATAATCCAAAAAATCTCACTAGAGCAGCAATGGATAGCCCTTGATAAAATGTGGACAAGCAGA